AGGGTGCACACAAGTAACGCCGTCTTCGCCGGAAGCCCCTGCCCTCGACTGGCGCTCTACCCTTGTTTTGCTACTTTTCAGTTTTGAGTTCCGAAAAACGCACTTTACAATTTGACGCGCTTGCGCGTCAGGCATAATCGCGCCCACCAAATCGCCCATTTCTCATGCGGCAAAAAAGCCAATCCACGCTGTCATCAATATGCTGAATATTTTCGATATCATTGAAATAACTGAGTGAAATAAGCGGAAAACGCTCGCCGTCGTGAATGCGTTGAACATGCTAATCTTCAGTTCTCACACCGATTATTATGGAACGCCTTGAGAAGGTCGCATGGTTCAAGCGTCACATTCGTCGATTGAACATCCCAACACAACTGTTTCTCACATTTGTAATGTGAAGTATTTATTGTATTTGAGCAGTGAGTAGTAGTAGGTTTTTTATTTTAATGTATCATTTGTATCGCAATTTTTTTATTACACTGCTTCAGATATGGAGCGATGGTGCCAGTTGGTTGTGCTCTGTTCCCGCAACAAAAGTATGTTTTTCCAGTATCATGAAGAGTAACTAGCCTGACCCACTAATCCAAAGCGAGCCCTGAGTAGTCGTCAAAAACATCATTACTAGTCGACGACTACCAGTAATTACTGAGTGACACGAAAATTGGTCTTAGTGAACTCTGCTCGGAAGTGTACAGCTCGTCAACTTTGTTGAGGAGTCAAAGAACGGAGCCAAATATTTCTACAGCTCCAGTTAGGTTTATGGATCTCCACTCTCTCTGAAGCGCTTATTACTGTGTTACAGCAAGGTAGCTCTACGTGAAGGGCCATATGGCGTAGCTACAAGTGGTACCGCACAGCTGCGCGACCCAAGGCCAGATCAAGGATCGACTTTCGCCCAGACCAACCAAGCCTTTCACCCCTGCAGGGTGATATGCCGGACTCGTTTGGGAGGATAAAACCACTGGCGTAGATCGGTTGACCCTATAATTCATTGTACAGGTGTCACACTCCAGTACCGCTACGCTCCCCAATTGCATTCGAATTCGTGGCGCACTCCAAATGGAATTGATCAGCCCTGAATCTTTACCAATTTGTCGCTTACGTTTGTGTATTCACAAGTATCTCCAGCGGAGCGTGAACAAATGCTGCTGAAATTTTTCATATGAAGATCTAGGCGAACTACGGTTATTGTGAAGGACGTCATTACTGATTTTATTGATCACCCTGGAGGGAGGGAGCGACCTCAACTCCTCTGCTCTGCACTATCCCGATGAAGCCAGGCTCGTCAGATTAACTAAGGAAAGATCTAATGTCGAAGTGGCCGACGATCAGTCGGAGACTGACAGCTGTACCATCAGAAGGATTCGGGAATGGTGATCTCGAGCCTTTCCTAGAAAGTTGCCCAATCGATCATGAAGGGATTTATCAACAAAAATAGACCTTGAAAAAGTTCTCTACATTTCAGCTCCATCAAACTGTCAACGTTGAAGCGACTTGAGCCAGAAGCATATGAGCGATTGAAAGGACTTGAAGTGTGATCGTGTATATTTCAATAAGGGGTTTATAGTTACGGTAGGAAGTGTCATGTGATTCAGTGTTGCTCTACACTAGGTCGCGGTCATAGCCAGCCACGTTTTTGCAGTTCACTTGCATTTCGAGTGTAGAATAAATACATATCGATAAAGTCGCCGAAATCGTTAACACCGCAACATGTGCCGTACGCGTCGCGGTTGTCATTGTTCTGTTCAACTCACTTGTTCAACCTACTTTTCATTTATGCACTTAGTTTGTCTGTGCTGAAACTTGTATCATAGCGTATCTTGTTGCTCATTCGTAGGGAATACAATGTCGCTATCTTGTGACTTCGATGTATTCAAAGGTGTCGGACGCGGCTTTCGTACGGGTTGCAATTCGGCCCAGATATCGCCGTTGCGAAACCCTACGCCTACTCTACGTGTCGCGGTGTAAGCAATTACACGATCTTCAGAAGCATGAGATATGACCGTGGCCTTACTAAGTGTACGTAGGGCAGTGTGACCTCCAGGCACATCGCGGCACCAGGACTTCTTGGATTGATCATGTCCATGATCCAATAGATGTCCCATATCGTTCACCATAGCAAAGTAAGAGCCTTCGTGCCGCGACCGCCAAGTAGCCACTTACGCAGCCCATCGTACATTACGAATTGGAATACAGAGTGGGGTGTAGCATGGCTGAGGTGGGGGGGGGGCCTTACGAGCGTGCGGTGCTAACTTACAATTAGTTGGGGGGGGGGGGACCACGCGGCGGCGCGGCGCTCTGTTCGTCTGCTCCTCTAAGGCTTAGTCCAAGGGGCAGTTACTATTTCGTCGCCACGTGGCAGTTTCGAAATACGCGCCATCGGCCCTTGGAGGAGCAGACGAACAGAGCGCCGCGCCGCCGCGTGGTCCCCCCCCCTCCCAACTAAGTTAGCATCCCGACGGCGCGGCGCGCGGTTTGCCCTCGCCCTGCTGGTTGTAGCGCGCAGTGGTAACATTTGTGCGAAGCGATGAATCTCCGAGCCACGACCATCACATGCGCGAGAGCTGGAATGATGTGTGTGTGTTGACGCTGTATCGCTGAGAGAGCGCAGACAAACATGGCGCCTCGCGGCCGCCTGCCTCCCCCTCTCACCTAGGTTTGCATTGTAGTTCTTTTGTGTAGCAATTAAAATAAATTATACAATTCAAATTTTTTTTCGAACAATTTAGCCATGTTTATTCTGACGGAGCAACCACAACGTATTACATGTTTGGGTTTTTTGTACATATTTATATACAATAGGTAACAAATGACCGTGAAATGACGTACGTACATCCCGCTATATGTACAACAGAGAAAACACGCCGACACGTACTGGCGTATATCATTGGATGACGAATGGATCTTTGGAGATATTTATAATACCTATGCACAATATAGTATAACAATTATTGACACAGGCGGAGTTAAGTGGTAAGTGCTAGATGAACGACTTAGAACACTTATGAATGAGGAGAATGAGAACGGGCTCAGCTCTTCTGCCTCAACGATGAAACGTAGAAACAGTGGTGCGCACAGAAGCATATCAGTGGGTGCAAGGATGCAAGGTGCCAGGTGCTATGTGCAGGGTGCAGGGGGGTTTCGAGAAGTAAATGGAGGCGGAAGGACGGGGGAGGGCGGGAGGGGGGGATAATACGGACGAATCGCTCCAGCGACTAGATGACGACAGGAAATCATTCAAATTTTTCGCTCTTTCACGAGACGTTTACAGACGACGAAACTGAAAAAAGAATCTCTTAATCGTGTGGGACATATAAAATAATGAAAAATAGCTGAGTTGCAAAACAGAAAGAACGAGTCTTCGGTAGGTCCGCAATTTTTCGTGGTAATACTGCGTGTGAAATAACACACGAACAATCGAAGGCTAGTGTCAGACTTTGCGAATACAGCGATTCGCTAGCGAACCCACGAATTCCTGCTAGCGAATCGCTCAGGAGCCTCGCACAAGAGTGTGTGCAGTGTGCGCGCAAAAATGGGGCAATTATTCATCCTTTATGGTAAAAACTGTGGACCTTTTGTCTTACGACCAGTATTAAGGGATTTCTAGCAAGAAGTCACCGCGCGACGTCGCACCACTCCCAGCAGAATTTTTCGCGTCGCGCCTGCTCGCATTGCATGTACTGTGCACAGCACACACAATACGCAACACGTTCACATACATATTCTCGCAGCGGGGTCACTTTATAGGCATGGTACAGTCAGGGTCAACCGTCCGTTGGACAAAGTCCAACGAGGGGTGGGGGGTCGTATTTGGGGTGGAAAAGGGGGGGGGGGCGCGAGGTAGCGTTAATGTTACAGTAAGGGAAGTGATGATGCAGTTGGTTGGCGCGCTAAAATTTTGCCGTTTCAGCGCGCGTATATACCACGGGGCGGAGCTTAGGCTGTGTCGACTGGTCTCAGAATCGAATACTATAGAATGAGCCCCATGATGGCGATGGCAGGCGAGGGTGGTGAAGGGTTGACCCTGAGGGGGGTCGTATCGAGGCCCTCTAGAAGGGGGAGGGGGTCGTAAAATTTTCGAAATCGGTCCAACGTGACGGTTGACCCTGGGTACAGTACAAGGGACACTGAAAACTCGAGTGACGTGTGGAAATAAAGCAGCAAGCGGTGTGAGGTCGAGCGCTTTTTGATATTACAGCGTTTTTACGGACCTACTGAAAAAAGGTATTTTTGTAGCAGGGGTTACCTTGAAATCTTTCATACAACTAAATAAGCTATAAAAATCAGTATAGCGTGGCTAGCTCTGTCAGGAAGTGGTTAGGGTCACATGTGGCTCATCCCATGTCCTCACTCTCGCCTCAGGTGCTCACACCAGTGACGTTACAATGTTCTATTCCAAGCTACGTTCACAAATCATTACAACCCTTTCCTATTAAATCCAGTGATATGACAATGGCCAACTTTGTTGAAGCCCACATTCACTCAGACCCTTTACAGAGCATAGAGAAAGTGGGAAAAGGCTTGTTGGCGATATCCAGCGTCAAAAAAAACGTCATGGGCCCCGTTTTCTTCCAAGCAAAAACGATCTCAAATTCCAATAGAAGAAATTCACTGACCCAATTGCCGCTCCGATGACGAATGTGACAATGTTTGACACGATGAAACCGACAACGACATGAAGTGACATCGACTTCGGTTCCACGTCATATGCGAACACTGTCATCAGCTCGGGCTCCGGTGAATTAGGCGGCGTTGTCAAGTTTGAGCCGTACTGCCTCACACGTACACACCTGATAATAATTCCAACAATAAGAGCATATTGATCAAATTTGAGAGCACAGGCCACATTCATAGTTTCGCCACTACTGAATCGGCAACCAATCGATACGTATTCCTTCTCCACACTCGGGCTCAAGCGAACTGCAAGTAGTCGCGAAACTATGAATGCGCCTATATAAATGGTTTGTGAAGACCCTTTCACGAGAAAATCCTAATTAGAAAATTTTTTAACAAACCACAAATATCAGAAATAAATAAATGAGATAAAATAACATTCAACGCTAAGAAAGTTGATGAGATGCAAAACGGGACGAGCTGGAGAATTACGATTTGCACTCGTTTCCCGCCGGAAGGCCCACCGTAATTGCAAACTTAATTGAGTAACCAGTAATCGTTGACACGATGTAAAATAAGCACTTGCGGAATTTCATCGCATTTCAGTTTGAATTGCGCTTTCTGCATCATATGCAACTAGAAAACATATTCATGGCGCACTCTGCATAGTCTTGAGAAGTTGGAATGCTGCTCAAAAGCATACCAATTGAGGAAAATACGATCAAAGCTAAAGTGCTCCCCACATTGTCCAAACCATCGTCACTGTGCACAGGGCAATTAACCAGGAAAGTTTTTCAGGTCATGGAGCGCTTTTTCAAAACGGTTGTTGCATGTTATAGGGGCACGTGCGTGGAGCATAAAACTGATGATCATTTTTTCTGAGCGGCCCTGGGATGGCCAAAAAAGGAGCAGAAATCCTTCCTTAGAAATGAAACTTTATATTTTTTAGTAGACTTTACAGCATTTGTATCGTTGAATAGTTGCATTAGGAGCTTTTGTTAATCGAATAAGTTGAGACCTGTATGAGCCTAGAGAAGCAGGGAAGTGCAAAAAATTTGTCTTCAGCGAGAATCGAACCACTAGCTCTGGTTTTGACATGTTTTTTGGCGTTTCCAGAGTCGCTCACAAAAATTACTTTTGTTTTATGCTCCCTGTGCGTGTCACTATAACATGCAAAAAACACTTTTGAAAAAACGCTCCATATACTGAGAGTTTCCTGGTAAGACCACACCGTGCTCAGCAGCCGTATTCATGACAAGTATTTTGAAAGACGTTTAGGCCGATGTCAGACTTTGCGAATCGCGCGATTCGCTAGCGTCTGCGGTCGCGTCGCGGCCAGTGAATCACTCAATTGGCTGGTACCGCAACGCGACCGCGGACGCTAGCGAATCGCGCGATTCGCAAAGTCTGACATCGGCCTTAA